ATTTGATTGACCAATCATAAATGAAAGATTTGATGTAACGGCTTAACGTTATAAATAATGTTAGAAAAATTACTTAGTTCTCTCTCTTTCTCATTCACCGGTCTTTTTAACGGGAAGAACTTTTGCCACAAAAATGGTACTTTATAAAAGTTGAATATTTAAAATGATAATTATTTTGATTAGTTAACTTTTAACAAAAATTTTGATAACATTAAAAAAATTTTTTTTTTTTTTTAAAAAAATATAGTCTGAGGCGGCCGGTGTAGTATTACGAACACGCAAATTCCTTACAAATCGTCTTTTAAATCGTAAACAAATGGTGATAGATGTTATTCACCCTGGTCTTGCAAACTTATCGAAAGACGATATTCGTGACAAACTTGCTAAAATGTATAAAGCCGATAAGGAGTTTATATTCGTTTTTGGCTTTCGTACAGCTTTTGGAGGAGGTAGATCGACGGGATTCGGCCTAATTTATGATAACCTTGAGGCTGCTAAAAAATTTGAACCAAAATATAGACTTGTCAGGGTAATCACAACGTGGAATAATTTGGATGATTTTTTCTGTAAAATTTTATGTAAAATTTTTTCATATAATATTTCTTTTTAAAGCATAAACTTGCTGAACCAGAGAAAACCGCTCGAAAACAACGTAAGGAAAGAAAGAACCGTGCCAAAAAACTCCGCGGTACTAAAAAGACTAAAGCCTCTACTTCCAAGAAAGACAAGTGACAAGTAGGGATAATAAAGTTAGTTGGTTTGGTTTAGATTATAAAGCCTTTAGGATTAAAAGCCTGGAAACCAGTTTTTATATGATAAATTTCAAACATAAGTTAAGCCTGGTTTGGCTCAGAACCAAAATTTAAAACCTGGTTTTCAATCTTTTGCAGGACATAAAAAAATAAAAAAAAAATAAAAAATTTTAATTTTCTGAATAACTTTATTTAATTTGCTTATTTAATAAAAAAAAATTGATTTTTATAAGGTAAAAGGGTGCAATATGGCGGGGTGGGTAAAGTGGCAGATAACAATATCGATGTTAACGCGGGATTTATCAAAGAGTCTAATGATTCTTATACTATTCAATTTGTCTCAACAAGATGATTCGAATTATATAAAAAAAACATTCGTTTCTAATCACTAGATTACTAAATAATCTATAGTGCGAGTAGATATTTCAATCTTATGTTGATTTATCACTTTACCTCCAAACGTTCCCAAACGATAAAATTATTTGGGTTTTTTGTAGCTTAGGATATATGAAACATATATATTTTAAGCATGGTTTTACAATGAAAGAATTCATTTTACACTAGCAAGTACAAGTTAACTTGTTTTTCTTTTCAAATTATTTAACATTACTATAATACTCTTTTATTTTAAGTAGCGATTAATACATAAAAATATGAAAATTTCTAAAATTATATTAAATCAATTAAACCAAAATTTTGATTTTTTTATTATTAGAGTAAGGGTAAATCTGTACCACAGGGCTGCACCAAGCTAGCCAGCGAAACCATAACAAGATAGTTTCAATTTGAAAGAATTTTTAATTACATTTAATTGGCAATTTTTCTCTTC